GTACTTTGTTGAAGCACCTTTGCCAGCTGTTACGAACCCCGTGGCTTTAAGTCTAGGGTGGATGGAAAAGAGACCTGTAACATAACTCATGCTAATTAGAATATTGCCAACGAACAGTGAGAACAAAAATACGCCAACAACCAAAAAGCTACCGTCAAACACAATTTTTTTTATTATAAACGCACGGTAAAGGTTTGGGGAAAAGGGGCTGAGCAGGACCCAAGGAATGAAACAATAATGTCAAAAACCCCTAAACTGATCTTGCCTGCCTCAAGAACCGCTAAGCTTACTACTAACTACACAAAAATACAGTGGGTGGTCCGCTCAGGTCTAACTAGTGTTTTTAGACAAAGTTTTCCTACGGGTAGTGTATGTTCAAGGGCAACTTGCTAAAAATCCCCTTTTCCCAGGAACAAACAAACAACATAGTTACCATATGGAGTAAACAGCAAATGAGTGAGTACACAAAAAAACAAGACACCACAGTATCCATACTCCCAAACAAAAAGAGTCTCTCCAGAAAACACAACTGACTGGCTTTTTAAAACCAGGGGATGTGATATGGTAATGTAAAACCAGAAACAGATGGTGCAATACAGAGGAGTGTCCACTGATTGGTCCACCTCGGCAATCAGTAGACGAACGGATGTCGGACACACCAACGACCACCAATCAGGAAAACAAGGGACACCTGTGATTAGGGCAGAAGGAGAGGAAAAACAAATAGACACACACAGGATACCTGTATCCGTAACAAGTAATAATAATAGTACATACACTGAGTATACAAAACATTAAGAACACCTACTCTTTCCATGACATAGACTGACCAGGTGAATCCAGGTTACAATATGTATTACTTCTAAGTTATATACAATGTAGGTACTAAAGGGAATTAATGTTAATGGAATGTCCCTCTGGCTATGGCAATCATATATTATTTTTTTAAATCCGTAACACCAGCGATTACAGCCTCGTCTTCTTGGGTATGACGCTACAAGGTTGGTAGACCTGTATTTGGGGAGTTTCTCCCATTCTTCTCTGCAGATCCTCTCAAGCTCTGTCAGGTTGGATGGGGAGCGTCGCTGCATAGCTATTTTCATGTTCGATCGGGTTCAAGTCCGGACTCTGGCTGGGCCACTCAAGGACATTCAGAGACTTGTCCCGTAGCCACTCCTGCATTGTCTTGGCTATGTGCTTAGGGTTGTTGTCCTGTTGTAAGGTGAACCTTCGCCCCAGTCTGAGGTCCAGAGCGCTCTGGAGCAGGTTTTCATCAAGGATCTCTCTGTACTTTGCTCCGTTCATCTTTCCCTCGATCCTGACTAGTCTCCCAGTCCCTGCCGCTGAAAAACATCCCCACAGCGTGATGCTGCCAACACCATCCTTCACCGTAGGGATGGTGCCAGGTTTCCTCCAGACGTGATGCTTGGCATTCAGGCCAAGATGGTTGACCTTCTGGAAGTTTCTCCCATCTCCACAGAGGTCAGAGTGACCATTGGGTTCTTGGTCACCTCCCTGACCAAGGCCCTTCTCCCCCAATTGCTCAGTTTGGCCGGGCGGCCAGCTCTAGGAAGAGTCTTGGTGGTTCCAAACTTCTTCCATTTAACCATGATGGAGGCCACTGTGTTCTTGTTTTTGGTACCCTTCCCCAGATCTGTGCCTCGACACAATCCTGTCTCGGAGCTCTACGGACAATTCCTTCGACCTCATGGCTTGGTTTTTGCTCTGACATGCACTGTCAACTGTAGGACCTTTTTATATAGACAGGTGTGTGCCTTTCCAAATGATGTCCAATGAAGTGACTTTACCACAGGTGGATTGTAGCTTTAACTAGCTACTGACTTTAGAAAGCTTTTCAGTTTGCACATGATCTAGCCTATATTTTCATTTTTAATTAATTTAGATAACAGGCTAATCTTGTAGCGAATGAAAAGGCAGCCTATTATTTATAGATTTCCCGACAGCCAATGAACTATAATTCTAGACCTACATTCTCAGATTATGCAGCTCCTGACACAATATTGGCAATCATACAGTTTCCACAGGAAAGGCTGTTGTTCATTCTTCCCACAATAGCTGCATTCCAAATGGCACCCTATTCCCGAGCCTATGTAGTGCCTACAGCTCGATGATGGTTATACAAGGCTACTATACAAAGCCTACTAATGATAATGACATTAACAACATTAATTATGATTATAATGATGATCATAATAATAATTGTAATAATAACAATAAGAAGGAGATCAAGGAAAAGGAGGATATACAGTGGGGGAAAAAGTATTTAGTCAGCCACCAATTGTGCAAGTTCTCCCACTTAAAAAGATGAGAGAGGCCTGTAATTTTCATCATAGGTACACATCAACTATGACAGACAAAATGAGAAAAAAAAATCCAGAAAATCACATTGTAGGATTTTTAATGAATTTATTTGCAAATTATGGTGGAAAATAAGTATTTGGTCAATAACAAAAGTTTCTCAATACTTTGTTATATACCCTTTGTTTGCAATGACACAGGTCAAACGTTTTCTGTAAGTCTTCACAAGGTTTTCACACACTGTTGCTGGTATTTTGGCCCATTCCTCCATGCAGATCTCCTCTAGAGCAGTGATGTTTTGGGGCTGTCGCTGGGCAACACGGACTTTCAACTCCCTCCAAAGATTTTCTATGGGGTTGAGATCTGGAGACTGGCTAGGCCACTCCAGGACCTTGAAATGCTTCTTACGAAGCCACTCCTTCGTTGCCCGGGCGGTGTGTTTGGGATCATTGTCATGCTGAAAGACCCAGCCACGTTTCATCTTCAATGCCCTTGCTGATGGAAGGAGGTTTTCACTCAAAATCTCACGATACATGGCCACATTCATTCTTTCCTTTACACGGATCAGTCGTCCTGGTCCCTTTGCAGAAAAACAGCCCCAAAGCATGATGTTTCCACCCCATGCTTCACAGTAGGTATGGTGTTCTTTGGATGCAACTCAGCATTCTTTGTCCTTCAAACACGACGAGTTGAGTTTTTACCAAAAAGTTCTATTTTGGTTTCATCTGACCATATGACATTCTCCCAATCCTCTTCTGGATCATCCAAATGCACTCTAGCAAACTTCAGACGGGCCTGGACATGTACTGGCTTAAGCAGGGGGACACGTCTGGCACTGCAGGATTTGAGTCCCTGGCGGCGTAGTGTGTTACTGATGGTAGGCTTTGTTACTTTGGTCCCAGCTCTCTGCAGGTCATTCACTAGGTCCCCCCGTGTGGTTCTGGGATTTTTGCTCACCGTTCTTGTGATCATTTTGACCCCACGGGGTGAGATCTTGCGTGGAGCCCCAGATCAAGGTAGATTATCAGTGGTCTTGTATGTCTTCCATTTCCTAATAATTGCTCCCACAGTTGATTTCTTCAAACCAAGCTGCTTACATATTGCAGATTCAGTCTTCCCAGCCTGGTGCAGGTCTACAATTTTGTTTCTGGTGTCCTTTGACAGCTCTTTGGTCTTGGCCATAGTGGAGTTTGGAGTGTGACTGTTTGAGGTTGTGGACAGGTGTCTTTTATACTGATAAGTTCAAACAGGTGCCATTAATACAGGTAACGAGTGGAGGAAAAAAATTCTCAATTTGTCTGTCATAGTTGACGTGTACCTATGATGAAAATTACAGGCCTCTCATCTTTTTAAGTGGGAGAACTTGCACAATTGGTGGCTGACTAAATTCTTTTTTTCCCCACTGTAGCAGCGAGAGCTGTGTCCATATTATGTGTGACAAACAGGTGCTGTTAGATTACAATCATATTTTACTGCCTGTTTGCAACAGTGTTAACAACACAAAATCAATTATAAGTAATACCAGTCTGTTCTAACGAAAACAAATTGTAAAGCCTTTATTACTGCATAGCACAGATTAAAAACAGCTGAATCTATGAAATTGCTTTCAATCCAACATTTTGCCGTTGCGTGAGGCTTGGTGCTCATGGAATCAGTAGGCTATTAAACAAACACTCAAACAGGCAACAGATGCAAGATCTGTCTTATTTCTGTCTATAAATGGATGATTTATAAAGCCAGGCACATTTAACAGGTATGCTATTGATTATAGACCTAATTAAGTTGGTTTCCTCTCTCCTCAATTTTCTTAGACAATTTAGGCTAAGGAAGGGCTGTTTCCTCGTCTCTGCTGCTGCTGCCTCCACCGCATTGTTCTCAATCCCAATATGCTGGTCAACTTTACTATTATGCACATAGCAACATAGGGAAAGGCGGCAATTCTACGGCGCACTGAATATTATGTTTCAGAACCGCAGACAGCGACCGTATCCAAAATAATATTCAATTTATTAGTGTTGCCCCGTATTTTGACATAATATAACCATATACAATTTCAGTATCAAATGTCGTACAGTGATGGACTGTGCCATCCCCGCGGCCTCACCAATGGATTAGTCCACTGAGATGGGCGCGAATCAGACGGGTGTCTTATGCAACATGAAACATTTTTTATCATTGCGACTGCTGGACTAAAGAAATCTCGGTCGACCAACAGCCTATTGACCAAACAATCGACCAGTCAACTAAATGGGGTCAGCCTTAAACACTGCACAGCTAATCACATTACGTTGAACATTCCAAATGAGTCACATAAAGGAATTAGCTAATAGACATTGATCAGCTTTGTTGGGTGACTTTTGGATCAAGCCAGTTCAACCAGCCACTCCAGGTCATAGAAACTTGGTCTTCACAGATTTGCAGGAAGTGACCTATAGTCAATGGGTCTGTCCCAAATGGCAGCCTATTGCCTGTATAGTACACTACTTTTGACCAGAGCACTATGGGCCCTGGTCAAAAGTAGTGCACTCAATATGGAGTAGGGTGCTATTTAAGACACAGTCCAGATCTATAAATCACAAAGTTGTCTTTACTTAGGCTATAAATTAATGTGGAATGCTAATATCAGGCTTTATCATACAGGTTGCGTCTCACTAGGGTCTCAAGAATAATGCTGACTGAAGATGGATGCTCCTGAGTACTTGGATTTGGATGAGATTGACTTCACTGATGATTCAGTGGTGAGTAGAAGTCCAAAACTCAGGTTGTTGTACCAGAAATGGTGTCACACCATCTGGCTGTGCCAGGGGATGTAATATAGTCTATGGGGCAGTTTCCCGGACACAGATTAAGCCTAATCCTGGACAAAAAATCATTTAAGATTCTACAGTAAATTTGCTTTTTAGTCCAGGGCTAGTCTTAATCTGAGTCTGGGGAAACCACCCCTATATGAAGTACTTTCTAGGCTACAGTTGGGTAAATGAATATTTCAATGTAATAAGCGCTTATAAACAAACGTTGATGGTCTTTTCCCTGTAAAAGTATTCTGTGACATCCTTGAAGAACATTCCAGAGCTGTCCAGAAGAAACGATGGTCAGGGAGAAGAAAGACAAGGTGTGTGTGTGTGTGTGTGTGGCCGGTCTAGGCTATTATTGTAAAAAATATATATATACAAATGTAAAACATTATGAAAATGAAGCCCTTATTATTTTGTAGCACTATAGGTAGCCTAAATAAAACAAAAAACGTTCCTATCTTTAGCCCCAGCCATCAACTGGAGCCGTGGTGTGTCGTCACATAGTGGCGGTGGAATCAAGCCAACCGGCATCGCCGACGTCCACAGCAAATTCCGACCTGTGAAGAGGGTCTCGCCACTCAAACATCAACCGGAGACCTCTGACAATGAGAGCGACAGCAAGGCTCAGGCTCACAATGGGGAAGGCAGCAGCAAAGAGGAGGCCTCAGACAAAACACCTGCGGCCTGCGAAGGCCAGGGATTTAAAGCCAAGAGCCTGGGCACCGGAGGAGCTCTTTTTGGGGAGCTGGAGCACTACGACCTGGACATGGATGAGATACTGGACGTGCCTTACATTAAATCCAGCCAACATGTCTCTACTCTTCCCAGAGTTCCCCCTGACAAAAGGATGGTGGGCGGCGGTGGCAGTGCCACTGACAGGTGCCAGAGCGTTAAGACCTCAACACTTCCCCACCCTGAGAGCCTTGCAAGTGTCACCCAGTACTGTGTGCTTTCGCCCGTCAAGTGGTCTGATATGAGGAAGTTGAAATCTCTGGACCCGGACAATCACCGGCCACCAACTGGGGGCTATGACCACTCCACACCAAGCTCACTTAGCTGTTCCTCTGCCTCGGACGTGGATAAACCTTTAGCCAATAGGGCCTACCCAGAGCCACAGGCACACAAGACCGGAGGTGACACCCCTGGGAGCAGCCAGGCTATGATGTCCCCCCTCCAGGGCTGTGCTGGGGCCAGGCAGGACAACAGTAAGACCTGGAGCAGTACAAGACTGCACGGAGAGTGTGATGAGGAGACCAAGAAATCCCAGAACATCATCAATATCATCCGAGAGGGGCAGATTTCTCTGTTGGTAAGTCAACAGTATGGGGAAAATATACAGTGAGGGGGAAAAAATTATTTGATCCCCTGTTGATTTTGTACGTTTGCCCACTGACAAAGACATGATCAGTCTATAATTTTAATGGTAGGTTTACTTGAACAGTGAGAGACAGAATAACAACAAAAAAATCCAGAAAAACGCATGTCAAAAATGTTATAAATTGATTTGCATTTTAATGAGGGAAATAAGTATTTAACCCCTCTGCAAAACATGACTCAGTACTTGGTGGCAAAACCCTTGTTGGCAATCACAGAGGTCAGACGTTTCTTGTAGTTGGCCACCAGGTTTGCACACATCTCAGGAGGGATTTTGTTCCACTGCTCTTTGCAGATCTTCTCCAAGTCATTAAGGTTTTGAGGCTGATGTTTGGCAACTCGAACCTTCAGCTCCCTCCACAGATTTTCTATGGGATTAAGGTTTGGAGACTGGCTAGGCCACTCCAGGACCTTAATGTGCTTCTTCTTGAGCCACTCCTTTGTTGCCTTGGCTGTGTGTTTTGGGTCATTGTCATGCTGGAATACCCATCCACAACCCATTTTCAATGCCCTGGCTGAGGGAAGGAGGTTCTCACCCAAGATTTGACGGTACATGGCCCCGTCCATCGTCCCTTTGATGCAGTGAAGTTGTCCTTTCCCCTTAGCAGAAAAACACCCCCAAAGCATGATGTTTCCTCCTCCATGTTTGATGGTGGGGATGGTGTTCTTGGGGTCATAGGCAGCATTCCTCCTCCTCCAAACACGGCGAGTTGAGTTGATGCCAAAGAGCTTGATTTTGGTCTCATCTGACCACAACACTTTCACCCAGTTCTCCTCTGAATCATTCAGATGTTCATTGGCAAACTTCAGACGGCCCTGTATATGTGCTTTCGTGAGCAGGGGGACCTTGCGGGCGCTGCAGGATTTCAGTCCTTCACGGCGTAGTGTGTTACCAATTGTTTTCTTGGTGACTATGGTCCCAGCTGCCTTGAGATCATTGAGAAGATCCTCCCGTGTAGTTCTGGGCTGATTCCTCACCGTTCTCATGATCATTGCAACTCCACGAGGTGAGATCTTGCATGGAGCCCCAGGCCGAGGGAGATTGACAGTTCTTTGGTGTTTCTTCCATTTGCGAATAATCACACCAACTGCTGTCACCTTCTCACCAAGCTGCTTGGCAATGGTCTTGTAGCCCATTCCAGCCTTGTGTAGGTCTACAATCTTTTCCCTGACATCCTTGGAGAGCTCTTTGGTCTTGGCCATGGTGGAGAGTTTGGAATCTGATTGATTGCGTCTGTGGACAGGTGTCTTTTATACAGGTAACAAGCTGATTAGGAGCACTCCCTTTAAGAGTGTGCTCCTAATCTCAGCTCGTTACCTGTATAAAAGACACCTGGGAGCCAGAAATCTTTCTGATTGTGAGGGGGTCAAATACTTATTTCCCTCATTAAAATGCAAATAAATGTATAACATTTTTGACATGCGTTTTTCTGGATTTTTTTGTTGTTATTCTGTCTCTCACTGTTCAAATAAACCTACCATTATAATTATAGACTGATCATGTCTTTGTCAGTGGGCAAACGTTCAAATTCAGCAGGGGATCAAATACCGTTTTCCCTCACTGTACCTAGCCATAACAATATAGTAGTAGGCTATATGAACAATACCATTTTGCATCAACAAGTCACTGAGTGTTTTTCCTGGTGTTCTCTGGCCACAGCCTCACCTGGCGGCTGATAACCTGGAGCTGATCCAGGACGAGGAGGGGAACAACCTGCTCCACATCTCTGCGGCCCAGGGCCACGCTGACTGCCTGCAGCACCTCACCTCCCTCATGGGAGAGGACTGCCTCAACGAGCGCAACAACCACCAGCTTACACCTGCTGGGCTCGGGGTGAAGGTAGGTGATGGGGTGAGAGGTTGGGTCAGGGCCTCTAGAAAACGTAACTTTGTGGACATGGCGAATCAACCGTGTCCAATCATGTCCACCTGCCATGTCAACCAAGGCAGACGTCTAGGTTTCATTCTAAATGGCACCCTATGGGCCCTGGTCAAAGGTAGTGCACTATATAGTGAATAGGGTGCTATTTGGAACGCATGCCTACTAGAGTTGGTTGTTAGTTAAGATCTTGATATTCCTGTGGGGAAAGATGACACCATGTCTCTGGCTGTGCAAGTCTGGGTTTTGGATACTTAGCTGTATTAGTCACGTTTACCCTCTTTCATTCCCTGTCTTCAATAAAAGAGCATCAGGACAGTGTCTGCATCAAACTGATCTACAGAATAACCTGTGGGTGTTTGCGTGCTTGCATGTGTTTGTGTGCGTGCAGAACGGCCATTTGGAGTGTGTGCGCTGGATGGTGAGTGAGACGGAGGCAATCGCAGAGCTGAGCTGTAGCCGAGAGCACCCCAGTCTCATCCACTACGCAGCCCGCTATGGACAGGTGAGGGAGACACACACCATCTTATAACCCTGTCATTGGGAAAATCTGCAACGGTCACCTTTATTCGACAAGTACATTTACATGTACCAGGAATTTGACCTGGTGGATTGGTGCTATAACCGAAAATACAGACAGAATCTAGACATACAGTATATACAACATAGATACAGTAAAAACAAAACAATTACACATGATAAGAGCTATATATATACACAATATTAATTCTGTAATATGTAACTTTTTGGGCGACCCGAGCAATTCACATAGAAATGTGGGTTATAGATCTGTCATTCTTATTGAAAGCAAGTCTAAGAAGTGGTAGATCTGTTCTATGTGCACTATTTCAATGCTTCCTGTGCTTAAGTTTAGTTTTTGAGTTACTTTCTGTTTTGTACACCAGCTGAAAATACAATATTTTTGGTTATGGAAAAGTTATTTCACAGCTGTTTAGATGGTATAATGATTCTCTACACTTGCTTGTTTTGTAAAATATAAACTGAAATTAGGCTAGGAAGCTAACTCAGAATTTTAGCAAGCAGGAAATGGCGGAGCGATTTCTGTGTAGTGCATCTTTAAGTGTGGAAATATATACAGTATATTGCAGTATGGTCACCACTGCAGCATTTCTGTCACCGCAATATCTATCCACACTTAATATTGTGTAGTATGACTATTGAATCCCATTTTCTTTCGTCTTTTTTATTTTTTTTTATTTTTTTGTCCTTTTGGATGTTTATGATCTCTCTTTTAGGAAAAGGTTCTGCTGTGGCTGCTCCAATTCATGCAAGAGCAAGCCATTTCTCTGGACGAAGTGGACCAGTACGGAAACAGTGCAGTGCATGTAGCCGCTCAGTACGGCCATCTCACTTGCATTCAGGTATGTGGTCCTCTGCTAGGCGAACCGGTTTATGTCAAGAACTGCAATGCTGCCGGGTTTTGTACGCTCAACAGTTTCCCGTGTGTATCAAAAATGGTTCACCCGCCATAGGACAACCAGCCAACTTGACACACGTGGGAAGTATTGGAGATATTGATTCTTTGACTCCCCAAAATATATGTAATACAGTGGGGAAAAAAAGTATTTAGTCAGCCACCAATTGTGCAAGTTCTCCCACTTAAAAAGATGAGAGGCCTGTAATTTTCATCATAGGTACACGTCAACTATGACAGACAAATTGAGAATTTTTTCCAGAAAATCACATTGTAGGATTTTTAATGAATTTATTTGCAAATTATGGTGGAAAATAAGTATTTGGTCACCTACAAACAAGCAAGATTTCTGGCTCTCACAGACCTGTAACTTCTTCTTTAAGAGGCTCCTCTGTCCTCCACTCGTTACCTGTATTAATGGCACCTGTTTGAACTTATCAGTATAAAAGACACCTGTCCACAACCTCAAACAGTCACACTCCAAACTCCACTATGGCCAAGACCAAAGAGCTGTCAAAGGACACCAGAAACAAAATTGTAGACCTGCACCAGGCTGGGAAGACTGAATCTGCAATAGGTAAGCAGCTTGGTTTGAAGAAATCAACTGTGGGAGCAATTATTAGGAAATGGAATACATACAAGACCACTGATAATCTCCCTCGATCTGGGGCTCCACGCAAGATCTCACCCCGTGGGGTCAAAATGATCACAAGAACGGTGAGCAAAAATCCCAGAACCACACGGAGGGACCTAGTGAATGACCTGCAGAGAGCTGGGACCAAAGTAACAAAGCCTACCATCAGTAACACACTACGCCGCCAGGGACTCAAATCCTGCAGTGCCAGACGTGTCCCCCTGCTTAAGCCAGTACATGTCCAGGCCCGTCTGAAGTTTGCTAGAGTGCATTTGGATGATCCAGAAGAGGATTGGGAGAATGTCATATGGTCAGATGAAACCAAAATATAACTTTTTGGTAAAAACTCAACTCGTCGTGTTTGGAGGACAAAGAATGCGGAGTTGCATTCAAAGAACACCATACCTACTGTGAAGCATGGGGGTGGAAACATCATGCTTTGGGGCTGTTTTTCTGCAAAGGGACCAGGACGACTGATCCGTGTAAAGGAAAGAATGAATGGGGCCATGTATCGTGAGATTTTGAGTGAAAACCTCCTTCCATCAGCAAGGGCATTGAAGATGAAACGTGTCTGGGTCTTTCAGCATGACAATGATCCCAAACACACCGCCCGGGCAACGAAGGAGTGGCTTCGTAAGAAGCATTTCAAGGTCCTGCAGTGGCCTAGCCAGTCTCCAGATCTCAACCCCATAGAATAGCTCCTGAGTGGCGCAGTGGTCTAAGGCGCCGCATCGCAGTGCTAACTGTGCCACTAGAGATCCTGGTTCGAATCCAGGCTCTGTCGCAGCCGGCCGCGACCGGGAGACTCATGGGCGGCGCACAATTGGCCCAGCGTCGTCCAGGGTAGGGGAGGGAATGGCCGGCAGGGATGTAGCTCAGTTGATAGAGCATGGCGTTTGCAACGCCAGGGTTGTGGGTTCGATTCCCACAGGGGGCCAGTATAAAAATAAAAAATAAAAAATAAAATAATAATATGTATTCACTAACTGTAAGTCGCTCTGGATAAGAGCGTCTGCTAAATGACTAAAATGTAAATGTAAATGTAAAATCTTTGGAGGGAGTTGAAAGTCCGTGTTGCCCAGCGACAGCCCCAAAACATCACTGCTCTAGAGGAGATCTGCATGGAGGAATGGGCCAAAATACCAGCAACAGTGTGTGAAAACCTTGTGAAGACTTACAGAAAACGTTTGACCTGTGTCATTGCTAACAAAGGTTATATAACAAAGTATTGAGAAACTTTTGTTATTGACCAAATACTTATTTTCCACCATAATTTGCAAATAAATTCATTAAAAATCCTACAATGTGATTTTCTGGATTTTTTTTCCTCATTTTGTCTGTCATAGTTGACGTGTACCTATGATGAAAATTACAGGCCTCTCTCATCTTTTTAAGTGGGAGAACTTGCACAATTGGTGGCTGACTAAATACTTTTTTCCCCCACTGTATATACATTCTGAACAAAATTATAAACGCAACATGCAACAATTTCAACGATTGTATTGTCCCCAGCACAAGGTGCACCTGTGTAATGATCATGCTGTTTAATCAGCTTCTTGATATGCCACACCTGTCAGGTGGATGGTTTATCTTTGCAAAGGAGAAATACTCACTAACAAGGATGTAAACAAATTTGTGCACAATTTGAGAGAAATAAGCTTTTTGTGCATATGGAACATTTATGGGATCTTTTATTTCAGCTCATGAAACATGGGACCAACACTTTACATGTTGCATTTATACTTTTGTTCAGTGTATATTTTTTTAGGTAGCGTTAGCTAGCACTAGTCTGCTGTACCTGCGCTGAAACTCTGAGTGCTTTAATTAATCCTATAGCTTGTTCTCCATATTCTTTTTAGTGAGCCAACATGCTTCAGCACCTTTCTTTCCATGATTGATCCAAACTCATGGCTCTCTCGTGTCTCTCTGCAGCAGATATGTAGTGAGCAATATGTTTGGAACATCGAATCGCAATAAAATCGCAGTATAGAATCGCAACACATATATAATCGTGATACATGTCATATCGGCACCTACATTGCCCTCCTGAACTAATTGCACCCTAGGTAAATGTGAACAAAAAAGGCTGTGAAAAAATTGTACAATCAAAATATAATATCTAACCTTTTAATTGAGTTAAAATTGTTCAAAGAAAATAAAATCGTCATCATGAAATAATTACTTTATTCAAAAACATGCATGTCACAATTATCTGCATTTAGTTATTTTTGCACCCTCCCTTTGCCAAGATAACAGCTGTGAGTTGTCTCCTATAATGTCTCCTGTGGTCCTCTGTAGCTCAGCTGGTAGAGCACGGCGCTTGTAACGCCAAGGTTGTGGGTTCAATCCCCGGGACCACCCATACACAAAAATTTATGCACGCATGACTGTAAGTCGCTTTGGATAAAAGCGTCTGCTAAATGGCATATTATATTATTATTATTATAATGTTTGATGAGGTGGGAGAACACATAGGAAGGGATTTGAGACCATTTCTCCATACAGCAACTCTCCAGATCCTTCAGATTCCTTGGTCCTCGGTTGTGGACTGTCCTCTTCAGCTCACCCCACAGGTTTTCAACGGGTTTAGGTCAGGGGACTGGGATGGCCATCGCAAAAGCTTGATTCTATGGTCAGTGAACCATTTTCTTGTTGATTTGGAGGTACAGTATGCTTTCGATCTTTGTCCTGCTGGAAGCTCCAACGATGACCCAGTTTTAGCCTACTGGCAGAGGCAGACAGGTTTTGGCCTAAAATCTCCTGGGTCTTGATGGAGTCCACGATGCCATGTATCCTAACAAAGTTCACAGGGCCTAACAAACAGCCTCACAACATCACAGATCTACCACCATACTTCACAGTTGGGATTAGGTTATTTTCTGCATGACCATGGCTCTTTTTACGCCAAACCCACCTCTGGTGTTGTTGCCAAAAAGCTATATTTTAGTCTCATCAGACCATAGAACCTGGTTCCAATCAAAGTTCAAATGACATTTAGCAAACTCCAGGCGCTTACATTTGTGGTTTGGTGACAGCAGAGGCTTTCTTCTGGCAACCCTTCCAAATAATCTGTTGGCTTTTAGACGGCGTCTAATTGTAGTTTTGGAGACTTGGTGACCCCAAGATGTAACCAACTTCTGCAATTCTCCAACTGTGATCCTTGGAGATTGTTTTGCCACCTGAACCATCCGTCTCACTGTGCGTTCAGGCAAAGTACACTTGCGTCCTCTTCCAGGTAGGTTCATCACAGCTCTAGCTATTTTACATTTCTTTATTATTGCCCTTATAATGGAGGGATATTTTCAGACGTGTAGCTATTTATTTATAGCCATTGTCTGATTTGTGATGGTCAAAAACCTTTTGTCTCATTTTATTTGTGTGTTCTCTGGCCTTTCCCATGTTGATGGATGACTACGGCTGTTACAGTGACCGTATTACCGCCACACCGGGGATCACTAGTAATTAAGACAGCCAAATACCACGTGACCGTTTAGTCACGGTAATTAGGCTGCTCCAAGCTCTGATGCTGCTGATGGTCATTAGTAGCCTACCAAACTTGCTAACTGCCTGGTACTCAGCACTCTATTGTCCCTCTAATCACTCTGACATCAATGCAAATGTGATCGGAAATCTAATCAAACACTTCATGAGAGCCCATGAGCTCATTTTGCGCAACATTTCTATAGGCTATGCAATTGCGTTAAAACAGAGTGATGGCCTCTATTAAAAAGAGGACCCCATCAGCTTTCTGTAGGCTAGGCCTACTATATTTATTTCTCAACTTTCCTAATATTAATATTATACAACAGGAGTATAGCCTACCTGGCTGGCATGAAAATGAACCACGGGAAAAGCGTCCTCCATTCGCTACTTAAGTACATGGATTGCATGTATTTTTTACCCTGCCCGTTAATGGTCCGTTCTAAATCAAAACAAATTTCACACATATATTATTTAGTATATGTAAAGACGAGATTAAATCAAGAATAGTCTGATGGGTGACAATATTAGCCTATGACTGGTGAATTATACATTATCACTTGTGAATGATGCCCAACATAAGGCAAGAAACAATGCATGCCTTTTTTTGTATGTGTGACTTTTTCAAATCATAGTTGCACACCTCATGTAGCCTAGCCTATATGTTTTAATAAGGTTTGTATCACAACTAAAGTGGCCAAATAACTATTTAAAATTAAGCACATTAATCCACTTTACAGCGGGTGTAGACTAACTGGCATACATATGCAGCATGTCCTCTGTAGCTCAAT